ATAGCATCCTCTAGGGCCCTTCTCGCAGGGGCCCCCATCCAGGAAGTCTGCGATGCAGCTGGATGGGCTACCCCACATACCTTCATTAGGTTTTACAGCTTAGACATTCCGTCGACACCCGGCTCTCTTGTGCTCGCGTCCTGAGTGTGCCTGTGAGCAGCTTCACACCAGGACAGGCAGGGCGCGTTGTGGCGTAGTGGGTACTCGTTCCCCCAAAGTGTCACTTGGACGCAGTTTGAGTTCCCTCGATAGGGAACGTCCTCGGGTTACGACTGTAACCCTTGTTCCCTGAGAAGGGAACGAGAACTGCGTCTCGTGGCCACGCCTTCCCCTGCCTGGGAGCGCTTGCTTCATCACAGAAGCTGACATGTTGTGTGTGCCGGTTCCTTATATATGCTTCCGCCTATGTGTCGTCACACATCACGTCATCACGTTGATCCAATCGAAGATTGGCTTAGTTTCATTCATGCTTCAGAGACGCTACGCTGAGGGGCGTTCCCCCAAAGTGTCACTTGGACGCAGTTCTCGTTCCCTTCTCAGGGAACAAGGGTTACAGTCGTAACCCGAGGACGTTTTCAGGGAGTTCGGAAAACTCCCAGAGCGAAGTGAGGCATTTACTACTTCTAGGAGATCTGCTTCTAAACAGTTTAACACATTTTTGAAAAAAGATGTGGGAAGTGTGTCAAGGGCGCAGTTTGATGTTTTAAGGTGCTGTACGGTTTCTACCAAAATTGTGCCATCAATGTCTTCGAAATCAGACATAGTAACTACTTTCTCAGGTTGTGGTCTGATCTGCCTGACAAAAATATTTTCAGTCAAAAAAAATAAATAACTATGAAGGTTGAGCAATTTTAATATTTGGTAAATAACTCCCGCCATAGTCACTCAAAACTGGGATGGTAATTCTAGTCACATTTATTTTTTGTTTCACAGTAATGTCACATTTTCCTTAAGGGGGGCGTTTTCCCCCACTCTACCCTAATCCTCTTCTCTTCAAATACGTCGCTGGGGTCAGCTTCTTTATGGAGATTTCTATATCCCCGTTGTCAACGTAGTGCATAGCAATAGTAAAAATGTATCTTGATTCATTCTAGTGGTTATTTTGGGAAAAACGGGTAGGGGGCGTTTTACCCCAGGGGGGCATTTTCCCCCACTCTACCCTAATAAAACTACATTTTAAGCAATTGGTGGGATTGCCAGACGTTTAGGGATCATGTGCTGTGGTAGCGCATCAAATCATTCTCGAGTATAAATACACAGCTATCCACAAGTTTCCTACGCCCCATGAGACCTTGCGTCAAAAGTGGGCGCGACTTCCGGTTTGAAGTAAACAAAGCGCTACTTGACATGCTTGACACTCGTTCATTCAACAGTTGACAGTCATTCAAGTTATAGCGATCCAAACTAGCTAACGATGTGGGAACACAACCTCAACGAAATTCAAAAGGGTGAAATAACAGTGCCTTTACCCTCCGCAGTAGTTGATTGGGAGTATTATAATAACATTATTAATAATCAATACTCATCAAGGCATGGTGACAGACAGTTGTGCGAGCTGACAAACAATTAAAATAAAAAATACACACTTAGTCATTGTGCTTTGGAGTTTATTCAAAATTATAAATGAATGTGCTACTTGAATACATTAACTGGCACATTTGGTATTCTGTCACCTCAGGCTTTGATCCTGAGTTTAGGTGTAACATCAGTAGCGAACAGCCAAACACATGCTGATAGAGTTTATAGAATGTTAAGAATTTAAACAAATGTACACAGGAAGATTCGTTGTCTTTTGGGAGGTGATGGAAACTACAGTCGTTGGTAGGATCACTGTGATTTCGTTTTCAGCTTATGTTCAAACCAATCACGTTTAAGCCACTGAATTAGTTTAGTCCGGTTATACATACAACCGCGAACAGCGCATGTTGTCCCTGAGCTCCGTAACGACATCTCTCATAAAGATTGGCGTCTTGTTATGACTGACTCCAGGCCATAACAATCAATGGGAGACCATGCCATAAACAAATGGTGCCAAACATAAATTTATTGTGTATCGAACGCAAATACAAACAACGTAATTAATCATGGGATATGGATGTCAGCATCAGCAGTGTAAAGTAAGTGCTGGGATGTGTTGTAGGTGTGTATGTGTGCAGATGTTGGATGTAAAAATAAAAGACATCAACTCAGATAAACTTAAAGGTGCATCTCTGTGAAATCCTGGCGTATCGAGCGAGGTCTAAGCCTGAAGCAGCTAGCCGAGCAGCGTCGGAGTCTTCAGCCACCGGATCAGGAAAAAGCCAGCCATACAGCGGAGAAGCTCCCATTTAAAGCACCATCTTCCCAGGTGTTAGCAATTAAGCCTGAAAGAGAGGAGGAGCAGGGGAACGACCAAAAACAGGCCAAAGGCCGTAACACCCCCCTCTAACAAAACAGGGACCCCTAGGGTTTCCCTTGAGCTGCAGGTATCCCAAAACAGAAAGTCTGTAACCTTTTTTAAGAAGGCACATCTTACCTAACAACTTGGAGCCCGGGACAAAGCGTCTACCACCACATTGTCCCGCCCCTTGATATGCCGAATGTCCAAAGTGTAGGACTGGAGGTGAAGAGCCCAGCGCATCAGCCGTTGGTTAGGAGTCTGTAGAGTGCTAAGGAAAGTTAGAGGATTATGATCGGAAAAAACTACCACCGGACCAGAGCCCAGATACACACTAAAATGCTGCAACGCCAAAATAAGCGCCAGTGTTTCCTTTTCAATGACCGAATAGTTTAGCTGATGGCGATTAAATTTCCTGGAAAAGAAACACACAGGCTTATCAACCCCTCCATCATCTCTCTGCAGCAATACTGCCCCAGCCCCAACCATGCTAGCATCCACCTCTAGGTGAAACTCACGATCCCACCTAGGAGCAACTAGAACTGGAGCATTGGAAATTAGAGCTTTCACCCTCTCAAAGGACTGTTGGCATACAGGAGACCACACATACTTTGTCTTCCCTTTCAGAAGATCAGTTAATGGTGCGACCACTGTAGAGAAATTCCTACAAAAACATCTATAGTAGCCCACCATTCCGAGAAATCTCATGAGTTCCCTTTTTGTAGTTGGTGACGGAATGTCATCAATTGCACACACTTTAGCACGCACCGGTCTCACCGAACCCTGGCCAACCACACGACCCAAGTAGACCACCGTGGCTCTAGCGAATTCACACTTTGCCAGATTCACTGTTAAACCTGCATGAGCCAGAGGACCCCGCACTTTATGACCAAAAATCAGATCATTAGGACTAAACCCTGTACTTTCTTGAATTACCTCTCTAGCAGCCAACAACATCCACGGTAAAGCCTCTTCCCAATCACCCTGCATCAACACACAATGAGCGCAACATAGACTTAAGTGTTTGGTGAAAGCGCTCCAAAACACCCTGGCTTTGAGCATGATAGGCAGATGAAAAATTATGAACTATGTTCAACTGTTCCAACACTTGTGCAAATAATTTTGAACAAAAATTTGACCCTTGATCTGACTGAATGATCCGTGGAACTCCAAAAATAGAAATAAATTGGGACAATGCACGAACCACAGACTTGGCTGTTATACTCCTCAATGGGTAGGCGGCAGAGTACCTAGTACTTTGACACATCACTGTCAACAAATACCTGGAACCTGATTTTGATGGTGGTAATGGACCAACACAGTCAATAAGAAGATGTTCAAATGGCTGACTGATAGCTGGTATTGGACAGAGTGGAACGGGCCTCAAAATCTGGTTAGGCTTACTTGTCAACTGACAAGTGTGACATGACTTGATGTACGCGGAGACATCCTTTTTCAACCGAGGCCAAAAAAAATACAGCAGAACTCTGCTATGTCTTCCTGACACCCATATGTCCAGACTGGTCATGGGAAATCTGCAACACAGTGTTCCTATACTTTAAAGGAACAACCACTTGGTAAATGGGATTACCAACAAAACCCTCAAACTGAGGCCATTTCCTCATCAAGACATTATTATGTAAAAAATAGCAATGAGAATGACTTCCGACCTCTGCAGGAGAACACAACCCATCCATACAAGGCTTCAAAGTGCTGTCAGCTTCCTGCTCATGCAATAGCTCATCATGAGAAACAGACCAGGGAACAACAGGTAAGAGTAAGCGAGGACCAGAGGCCACAACTTCAGATTGATCACCTTCCAAATGCTTTGACCGAGTTACTGCGCAGGCACTAAACACATCAAGAAAGTGTACCTCACTCTCATCAGGCTTACTGCACACCAGAGGAGTCACCGTCACCCTGGCAGGCGGAGATACGTCAGCCCATACTTTATCACCGGCGATGTCATTACCCAGGATCATAGCGACACCATCCACAGGTAATGCTGGACGCACACCAACAGACACCTCGCCCTGGAAGAGATTACAATGCAGCATCATTTTGTGTTGTGGTACATTCAAAACATTTAACCCCATTCCAACAACAGGGATGCTTGAGCCCACAAAGGTGTCATTTGAAAATGGCAATGTTGCAGCTACAATAAATGAGTCAAACGCCCCAGTATCACGTAAAATCTTATGCGCACCTGCTCTTTACTTCCCTTTAAAGACACAAAACCTTCCGTAATAAAAGGCAAATAAGATTTCAACTCCAGATTGCCTTCAGTGACTCCACCTACCTCCTGGCCAGCAACAGACACAGCACACATAGCTGGATTAGCTTTAGGAAAAGCTTGCTTTGGACGAGATTTAAGAGCATAACAATAATTTTTCCAGTGACCTCGCTTATGACAGTAATTACAGATTTTTTCTGAATCCCCTGAAACACCACTCCTATCCACACTCACTTAAAAAAGTTGGGTTAAAAACGACCCAACAGATAACCCAAGGGTGGGTTGATATAGCACCGACCTATTGTTGGGTTATTTTAACCCAATAAATTAGGTAACTAGTTTCACCCAATAAATTGGGTACAAATAACAAATCTGTTGGGTTATTTGGCAAAAATGATTTAATCAACCTATATTATTATAATTACCGGTACTATTATTGACATATAAATAAATAACTCACAACTTAAGTATATTAACAATGCTTTATTTACATTCAATTAGACATTGCATTCACAAATTGTTGTAAACATTTTCATTTATTGTTTTTTTTTATTGTAACATTTTTTCAGTTATTGCTTGAGTTATTGTTTGCAATTGCTTTAATTTACTTCCTTAAGGTAAGAAATTCTTTCAATAAATAAACAAATAAATACATAATAGTAATGCAATTATAAACTGCCTCATAAGGCGACAGTGTTGAGGGAACACCTCAGGCACAGAGTATTAATGCTAAAATGAATTTATTTACATATATGTTTTAAGTTCTAGAAACATGGAAAACAAATACACAAAACAAACCAAAGCTTGTCCAGCTTATCCAATTATAAACTGCCTGAGTAAGCGACAGTAAGTTGATGGACAGAATGGCACAGAATTTATTGTGTGTTGTAGAAACTGCCAAACAGAGGCTTTGGATAGTCTATGTCTAAAGCATAAAATATTTTAAAGCATGTATCCACAGCTTGTAAAAGGCTGTCTTGCTCTCGTGCCGCTCCTCCCACAATGACGAAGGCTTGTGAGCAGTTGAATTTATCTCCAAGCTGCAGGACATGAGGGAATTGCCTCCGTTGCTCCTCCTCCTCCAAATATTGTTTGTTCCAACCTTTAAATAGAATTTTTAAATGGTAAATATGCACACATGGATTCAATATTATCAAAAAATGTTTTACTCAATATAACCCATAAATGACGTACCTACAAGCTGTAAATCAACAAATGGTTGTTTTGCCTCCTGGTAAGAGGGCCGAACCATCTTGTAGCCCTTTTTGAATGGCAATGGAGGAAGGATAGCTTGCAGGATCCAAGAGTGTCTTTACATAAAACAGAAAGAATAATAGATTAGTATAGGCCTAAGTTCTACTTTTCATGAAGTCAAATTAAAAAGGTTTCACTATATTAGTGATGCCATTCTTTAATTGTGAAGAGAGTAAATAGCAAATAGCAAATTTATCTCTCACCTGCAAATCTGTCGATTAATGTTTCAATGTTCCACTTCTGAAGTGTTTCCCTTACATATGAATCCATAGCATCCTGTGTAAAAAAAATATGAATTAGTTAATATAAAGTGAATTAACAAAAATAAAGCCTGTCAATAATCTACTATATATTCACTGTAAAATCACAGGAGCTGTAATTTTACAATAGAAGCTCCTGCAATGGCCATGTTTTGTGGTAAATGACCTTGCATTAAAACACAATTTTATAAATGTATTTGTAATCATGCAACTATATTATTGAACTTTAATATTCATTCAACTTTTGGACCACAACAATAGAACAATAACCAAATAAAACAATAGTTTAGCTTTTAAAAGGCAACACAGGAATTTTCTCTGTAAATCTGTACGTTCGGACAGAGACAGTCAGATCCATAAGCAGAACTTTATTATAACTTAAAACACAAGCAGACATAAACCCAGGCAAGCAGTTAAACAGGGGGCAATCCAGTAAATCGTGGTGAAAAACAGGCTATGGTCGAGGCACGCAGCACAGGTTCAGAAACAGTCCAGAAGGCAGGCAAACGTCCAGGGAAACACTTAATACTCAAAAGGAGAAAAAATGCTCAGAGATGTACACTTGCAGTGTAACAAAACTTCGCAGAGGACACAGGCAAAACTCAGGCTTAAATAAGGAACTCAATCACAGGTAATGACAAATAGCTGAACATAATAAAACATAAAGAGTCCATGGGGAAACATAGCACGGGAAGAGAGTGCCCTCCAGAGGCTCACGAGGGCACTACAGCTGCCGAACATCACAAATACGTTCATGAATTTAGATTTACATTTGGACTCTTTTTTAACGCAGTTCAGGAGGCATGAATGTTTGTTACCAGCTGTTGACAAGACGTGCTGCAGCTCGACCAATATTTCGCGTTAAGCAGGCCTACATGACCGACCGACCAATTAAATGGTGCCATTTAAAATAATAACTACAAAAAAATAAATAAATAAATACACACACACACACACACACACACACACACACAATGAATGGTGTCGCGACTCGCGGCCAGACTCATTTATTTTAGGTCCAAAAAGATGACATGTCCGGGAAAAAGAGGACGTATGGTTACCCTAGTTTAACACTTTATAGTAGGCTATTTTAAATTCACACTGTAGCTCGGATAGCCCAAACATTTGCGCTATAATATAGGCAGGCACTTATAACACAGCATTACGTTAACTTACCTTCTTTCTGTCAGTGACTGCGACACTGGATGGATGAACAGCTGGGTCTTGAAGCCGAGCGCGTCGGTTAATATTTGGAAATTGGATGGATGGACCGGGCTTCAACTGGGTCTTAAAGCCGAACGCGTTGGTTAATATCTGAAAATATAACTTTACCAAAAAGTATTGGAGAGAACATAGAAAGTTAGGAAGCACAACCGAGTATTACAGTAAGACATTGGCTGGCTGCTTTATAGCGGACAAAAAGCAGTCAACAGGAGATATACACATGGAAATAATTGGCTGAAGATTTAGGAAAAAGCGCAAATAATACTTTGCAAGACGTACAACGAAAAAAAAAACGTTTACAGTATGGCTATATAGTGTAATAACTCACCCGTGTATCTTCTGTCAGCTGCGGTGCAACCGTTGAAATTTGAACTTTAACCCAACGTGCTGGTTATTATAGAAACAACCCAATAAATGTTCTGAATAACCCAACAGAACGACCCAATATTTTTTACCCAGCTATTGGGTACACAAAACAACCCAACGTTTTTTAGAGTGCAAACTGCCTACTTGCCCTTGCTTCATGAGGACCAGCGCCACCTCTTGAAGAATGAATCAAAAAATAATCGTCAGCCAGAGCAGCAGCTTCACCAATCGACTTAACTCCACGCTCACTAATATACGTAGCGATACACTCTGACACAGAGTCTTTAAACTGCTCCAAAATAACTAACTCACGGAGTTTTTCAAAGGAGTCAACCCCGGCCGCTGAGCACCAACAGTCAAAATGCATAGTTAAATCACGCATAAACTCTAGGTGTGACTTATCGCCACGTCTCCAACCTCGAAAGCGTAGTCGGTACGCCTCCGGCACAAATTCATACGTTTTTAAAACAGCATTTTTTACCACAGAGTATTTAACACAATCGGTACTGCTCAATGCTGAAAATGCCTGCTGTGCTTTTCCGGTTAATACACATTGTAACATTAACATACGCGTGGAATCAGACCAACTTCGAACCTCTGCCAGACGTTCAAATAAGGAAAAAAATGTCTCTGGGTCCTCCTCATTAAACCTGGGAACAAATCTCAGATCACTCAGGTCATCCTGTTTAATGTTTACCTGTGCCTCACCCTCCAGCTTACCTTCTCTAATCAGCGCCAGTTAAATAGTAAAATAATTCTCCGAAAAACAGCTAGCCTCTTCGCCAACTAACACACAAAATACCATTGGAATGCTACTTCCACCGCCTCACCGGAAGTTTCACCCACTTTATTTTTTACATGAGCGCCCCTTGGAAACTTGTGGATAGGCAAGCTCTTTTAGATCAGGAACAATGCTCTTGGTGATTGGAAGAGAGTGATCACTGTGCGTAACCACTGTAACCACTCGGCTCCAAAGCAAAAATCTGGAGTGCAAGCAAAATATCCAGCCTACCCAAGTACTCCTACCCAGCTTAACATACCGTATATCTGGGTAGGAGTGGCTCGGCATGCACATTTAATTCGCAATTATTCTTTGAGCAGTTTGTTTTTTTACTACTTAGAGGTGATTTTGGCACCCAAGTGAGACCATAATACGTCAGCGAACTAAGCGGCTGCTTAGGGCCCCGCCGCCACCAGGGGGCCCCCTAACTACAGATGGTATAGACCATTTCACAAGATGTAAACAAGACTGGTCCAGACACACGTCCTGTTTCAGTTTGTAACTGTTTTCTTTATTTCACATGTAAAGAAAACATCTTAAAGATGTTTGTTTAACTTTTTGATTCAGTTTTAAATGTTCTGTTGGTTGTATTTTATCCCATCTTGTATGTAGTGTTAAAAAACTGAAACAGGAAGTGCTTCTGGACCAGTGTTGTTTACATCTTGTGAAATGGTCTATAGTCGCCGCTCAAAGTGTCAAAGTGTGGGGCGCGTCCCTCTGGTGGGGAATAAAGACGTGACAGGTGGGGAGTATAGGGTTTTTAAGTTATTTAATCAATATAAAGGACGCTCAAAGTGTGGGGCGCGCCCCTCTGGTGGAATAAAGACGTGACAGGTGGGGAGTATAGGATTTTTTAAGTTATCAATATAAATCAATATAAAGGGGTGATTGTACTTACTTTTCTTCTTATTGGTTAAATAAACAAATAGTCGAGTAGAAAAAAACTTTAGTCGGAGGCAGCCCTTATCCACATATTTTCGAGCCAGTAGGGTTGAGCGCGTGACCGAGCGGAATGAAATGCAATATTCAAATGAAATGAATTCAGAAATGCGCGTCCAAGTGATCTGAAGGATCACTTCCGGCGCACTCGCGCATACCGAAGCGCCTGTGCCTTCAGATCACTTAGACGTGGCTGTGATTACAAGAGGTAAAAACAATATAAATACTGTTCGTTTTCTCACACAAACCGCTTGTTCAGACAAGAACGGTTTGACCTAAAAATATCAAAATTGAAAATACTGTGGAAACAAAGGCACCTACATCTTGGATGCCCTAGAAGTAAGATAAAAGATATCAAAAATTAATTTCAAAGTGAACTATCCCTTTAATGAAATCTGAGAGCATTCTCTCCCTCTGTTGGCAGCTCTCCCTCTGCTTACACCTACCACTTTCAAGCTCCAGAAAGATAGTAAGATCATAATAAAAGTAACACAGTGTTAGAGTCCTATCCAAATGTGATGCGATAAGATTCTAGCAACAAAACATTTGTGCCACTTTATAAATTTGGGGTTTAACCACTGGAGTCACATGGATTACATTTGTGTCTATACCTTTCTGAAACTTGAAAGTGGTAGTTGCCTAAGCTGTCAATGGAAGGACAGAAATCTCTCAGAGTTCCTCAAAAAGATCTTCATTTTTGTTCTAAAGATGAATGTAACTCTTGTGAGGTGTGGAACAACGTGCGTGTGAGTAATTACAATTAAAATTTTGGGGTGAGATATTTATCTAATATTGTGTTCTCATACAGAAAAATGGCATCAACACTAACATTTCACTCTTCTTTAATCCCTAGCTGGCGTCTTGGGGAGGACGACCTCGCATCCAGTATGCTGCGGTGGGTGCCGCAGGATTTCGAACTCATTCGATCACTTGTCTCTATGCTTTTCGAACTGTGGCGACTAATCGTGCCTTGCTGTGGGTCAAGCCGCTGGATCTTCAGATCTTGGGTGCAGAGCGCTGGATGCTCCACTGGGTTGGACGTTTCCTCCAGAGGACTTGTGGTATTCAATTTGCATCCATTCTGCACGTGTCCAAACATTTCACTCTATTGACTAGAAGTCTAAAGCAATTTTTAAGGATAAAAGCAGAAGCCTTATCTTCATTGCATTTTGTTTGTTTCTGTATTGTATCGTATTCTATTAGTATTGCATTTGAAAATGTTTTGAATCTGGACTTTCACAGTTTATGAAGGTTTTTTTTTCTCATTTTTTAAAAATAATTTTGTGAGCTATTTGGTACAACACCAATATTGTGCAAGTACCTGCTCATGTTTTCTTTCTTTTTTTTTTTTTAATTTCTCCCATGTTTGTTTAATGTCTTAACTTTTTTAATTAATTACCAGCACTTTTTCCGTTTTTTAACGGAGATTTTTTTAACAGTGTGGGAAACAGTGAGAGATGATCTCAAACATCAGTCTAGTCAGGAAGTATGGGTTGGTTAATATTTATCATGGTGTTAATAATACATTGGAATGCCAGAAGCCTGGTAGCAAACGGACAAGAGTTTAAACAAGTTATTGAAGAAATGTTACAAAAGCCAGATTTTATATGTATTCAAGAGACCTGGCTGAGGCCAAATCTGGATTTTGTGATACAAGGGTATGTGGGTGTCCGTCGAGACAGAAGCACAGGAGGTGGGGGAGGTTGTGATACATTTATTAAACAGGGGCTGCCATATAGGACTCTAGGATTAGGGAAGGAGTTGGAGTATGTATGTAGTGGTGGAGGTGTGGGTAGGAATGGAAAATTTTGTGATAATCAATTTTTACAATCCATGTAAAAGATTAGAATTAGGTTTAATGGAAGAGGTAGAGGGACAGGAAGGACGAAAGGTAGTGTGGTGTGGAGACTTCAATGCTCACAATCCACTTTGGGGGGGAAAGAGATTAGATGAAAATGGAAGAGTGATGGAGGAGTTGATGGAGTTAAAAGGATTGGTGTGCATTAATGAAGGTCAGGAAAAGAGTCAGCACTAGACCTTACCATCACATCTCACGACCTAGCAAGGTTTTGTGATTGGGAGGTATGGGAGGAGTCGACAGTAGGGAGTGATCATTTTCCTATTTTATGCACAATCAGAATGAGGGTGGGAAACCTGTCTGGAGAGGGAATTGGGAGATGGGTATTCAGTAAGGCTAATTCGCCTTATTCACTTGGCGGCCATTTTGAAAATGGAACGCCGCTGAGGGGTACACTCACCCGGAGGGATGCATGCGACGCAGCAGCACCAGCAATGAAAACTCGCAGTGTGGACCACCAATCTTTCCTGTCTGCCCGAATTAACGATGCAAAATGTGAAGCAAAGTGCCAGTGACTGAAACATCTCCCGGGCTGTGTTAATTAAAGGATACAGTACCTGTATCGGAGGTTTTATCCACGACATTGAACGTAGGAATGGACGCCAATTTACCTCAGTTTCTGCAAGCTTGTAGGAAGTTGACTGTGTACTATTAGAATCTATACAAATCCATGACCATCATTATTTTTATTCTTTATGAATCTATACATATATGTGAACTTGTATTGTCACCATAGCAGCTTATCATTGTCAGTGTGTAACAGGATCAGTCCCTGTCAGACCTTAAAATCACTTCTCCTCTTTCCTTTTACATACCTGTGAGTGATTTGATTGTTTTACATGCATGTGTGTGTATGTAAGCTACTGGATGTGTATCTATCTAAACAATAAAGTACAATTGTATTACACATGGATGATTTCCTTCATAACTTTATAATTTAATATACCGGAACCAGAACAAGTATAAGAAAACATAAAAAAAACATTAATAGGCACACTGGTAAAGGTTTGTAAAAGTAACTTTGTATATAGAAGTTGGTACAGGGGAATAATGTAAAATGGCCTGCCTGTACTGTAAGCTTGGAAAAGGAACCAGAACATCAGAAAACAATTCAAATCAACTGGCCGTTCAAAAAACAATGATAGGCAGAAAAGTCTAGGTTTGTAAAGGTTACCTTGTACATAGAAGTATGGAAAAACAACCAGAAAAGCTCAGAACATTGGAAATTGCATTAGGAACAAACCATTTAAAAACATTAACAAAAGAGAACTAAATACATAAACAGATTATCAGTGATGTCTTGCTCGTTGTTGGGGGGACAGATGTGTAGCCCATCTTGGCAAAGTGAGCGAGAGTGTAGAGCAGCCTGATGAGATGGTTGCACTGTCCCAAGCCAGCTTTGCAGTTGCACTGCATCTCCCTTATAAATGACTGCTCAAGTGACAGCTCCACCTAAAAACATAATCAAACTTTAGATACTTGACACTTCAGAGTTGCTATTAACAAATATATGATATATATATATATATATATATATATATATATATATATAT